ATAATAACATATATATTTTTTAAAAAGCACATTATCTATTCCATATTTTTTCTTAAATTGTTATCCTCTGGTACCAGGGCTAAAATTCAAGATGTCATAAATGAACAGTTCTTGCTATGAAGATGTGGAAGATTTGTGATCTCCAAGAATCTGCATTGGGACTGCTTTGTAAATTGTCCATAAATGATCTGGAGTTTGGGCTGATTAGTAAGGTGGCCAAATTTGAAGATGACACCAAATTATTTTAACATTTTAAAAACAGCAAGGGAAGATTAAGAGCTTCAAGAAAATTCTCCACACTGGATGAATTGGCATTGAAATAATAAATTGAATTCACTGTTAGTAAGTGTAAAATGAGGCACATCATCTCCCCTCCAGATTGGTACTTAAAAGTATACTGACCTGGTAGTAAAAGAACCAGAAATGGGATCTTGGTGCCACATAATCAAAATAACAACTCATTGTGCTGCAATCATGAAAAAAGTTAATTCGGTGTGTGGCTCACTAAGAAAGAGTTCAAAAACAAAATTCCAAATTGCAATGCCACTGTACAAATCTGTGGTGTTACCACACTCAGAGTAATGTGCACAGATCAAATTTCCACATTTAAAAAAGTATATGGTAGCTTTTTTTAAATGACGAAAGAAGCAACATACGGCTTTTCTTGGCCTAAACCAAATCGTCTCAACCAGAGCAGATCCAGGAGCTCACTGGAGCTCATGTAACTGTTTATTTAACAAGTTCCTACACATTCAGTGGGTTTTTTTAATTCTAGCAAACAACTGGATTTAATCCATTATGTTCTCACCAGTTAATGAGAAAATATTTTGATATGTGGATGAAAGGAAGCGAAGCCATTTTTATATTCCCAAGGAGGATTTTAGCACTAGAATTAGTACAGAGAAAATGGAGGTAAATAGTCTTTCTGTGGCATTCATCTTTTAGTACCATAATTCCTTCATTCCTCTTATGCAAACCTTATAAAGAGGCACAGAGACATTTTTATTAGGACTACAATACCAGGTGGTCATTTGCAAATGTGAATGAGCAATCACAGTTCTAAATGCACAGGCAAAACACCTTTTAATGATTTTAAATGAAGACATTCCACACATTTAGCAAGCTGTGGTCACGTGTAGAATAACCACTGTTGTTCTAGAACAGATAGGTGTGTTAATCTGTGTCAGGAAGAAGAAGAAGAAGAAGAAGAAGAAGAAGAAGAAGAAAAACATGGTGGCACCTTAAAGACTAACTGCTTATTTTAATGTGAGCTTTTGTGGAGAAGTCTATGTCTTCATTTTTGTTTTCGCCTGACAATGGCTGTTCTGACCACGAAGCAAAATGAGGCAATTATCCTTGGGTGCAGATATTGGGGGTGGCAGGCAAAAGTAGATTCCCTTGGATAGATTGTGGAGGGGGGGAGAGAGGCTAAAGCCTCAAGAGTAGTGTGGGATGGTATTTAATCAGTGTCAAGGTGAAGATCTAGCTGTCAGTCTGTACTGTATGTGGACAGGAGGAGGGGCAGTAATCCTGTCCCTTACATCAAGCAGCGTAATGTTTTGGGCCAGCTTGTTAGAGTTTGAAAAAAAAATGATTTTATGAGATGTCTCAGAGAGGTGCATTAAAAGTGAAAGTATTACTGAAATACTACAGCTGGGGAAAATAGTTTACGAAACAACCAGTTGTTTTGGTATATAAAATAACTGATAAGAAGGCAGACATGTTTTTAACACTTTCGAACTGTATGTTTTTCATGTGACACCTAGAGATGATGCAAATAAATATAACGTGTACATGAGTAATAGGTTCTGAAGTCGCCTGGAATTATTGCAACCACGAAGACACTTATAATGAGATGCCCAGATGAGTGTGGAGATACTTAGTACTGATTACTGGTTCCATTCTGGTATTAACCCTTTACTGGGATAATCATAGACTCATAGAAAAGTGAAGTTGGAAGGGGCTTACAAGGCCATCAAGTCCAACCCCCTGCTCAATGCAGGAATACAGTCAAAGCATATCTGCCAGGTGATTATCCAAGTTTTTCTTGAATGCCTTCAGTGCTGGAGCACTTACCAACTCCTGAGGTAACTGGCCCCACTGTTGTACTGCTCTAAAAGTTAGGAAGTTTTTTCTGATCTGGCTTCCTTTAACTTGAGCGCATTGTTGCATGTCCTGCACTCAGGAGATCTTGTCCCTCCTCTGTATGACAGCTTTTCAGATATTTGAAAAGTGCTATCATATCACCCCTCAGCCTTCTTTTCTCAAGGCCAAACATGCCCAATTCTTTCAGCCTTTCCTCATAAGGCTTGGTTTCCATCCCCCTGATCATCCTTGTCGCCCTCCTCTGAACTTGTTCCAATTTGTTAGCATCTTTCTTGAAGTGTGGTGTCCAGAACGGGACACAATACTCAACGGGACACAATACTCAATACTAACCAGTGCTGAATAGAGGGGGACCAGCACCTCGGAGGATTTGGAAACTATACTTCTATTAATGCAGCCTAAAATCGCATTGGCCTTTTTTGTTGCCACATCACACTGTTGCCTCATATTTAGCTCGTGATCTATGACAATTCCAAGATCCCCCTTGCTCGTAGTTTTGCTGAGCCAGGTATCTCCCATCTTGTAATGGTACAATTGGTTTCTTTTTCCGAGGTGCAGTACTTTGCACTTATCCCTGTTGAATTTCATTTTGTTGCTTTTAACCCCGTGCTCCATCCTATCAAGGTCATTTTGAATTTTGTTTCTGTATTCTAAGGTATTAGCTATTCCACCCAATTTTGTATTATCTGCAAATTTGACAAACATTCTCTGCACTGCTTCATCCATTAATAAAGATATTGGAGAGCACCGGGCCAAGGACTGAGCCTTGGGGTTCCCCACTTGTGACCTCCTCCCAGTTACAGAAGGACCCATTAATCATCACCCTCTGAGTACATTCTGTAGCCAACTGTGTATCCACCTGACACTTGATCTATCCAGCCCATAATGTCAGCTATGACAAATCATAGAATCTGTTCTCTTTGCTTGGGAGATCTTTAAATCTTTGTGGGACTCCTCAGGGAGTCAGTTATCCTAATCAGATGTTGACAGGCTGTGAGAGCAACAGTGTCTGGAAAAAAGTATCAGATGAGAAACATACATTTATAAATGGCTCGAAGTCATTGGAATGAGAGAAATCCAGGTGACCACAAGACAGGAAAAAGGGAAAGAGCTATTTGACTTTTCTTCCTTCATACTGTACAAGGTGTAGCTTTCTCACAGCCAATTGTATATCCTTGTCCACCTTTAAGTTGTTGTTGTTTCCTTTTGAAATGTTATAAGTAGTGCTTCAAGGTTATTCTTATCAAGGTGACTCACAGAAAAATACAATAATTGTATTCATACTTCTGGAGGTTTATTTGTTTGTCCCAAAAACCTCTTTATTTATTTGGCTTTTATACCGCCCATCTAGACGAATCTACTCTGGGCGGTTTACGGTCCAAAAAGGCAATAAAATTTAAATCATCAATAAAACATTATTTAAAACATTAACAACTAAAAGCTAACAATTTAGCACAGATACTGCTGAGTCTCTCATATAACAACTAAAAGCTAAAAATTTAGCACAGATACTGCTGAGTCTCTCAAAGGTCCAGTTTTGTTCGTTTGTCCAAAAAGATGTTCAACAAGGAAAGTGCTAGAAACACAAAATTTAACTGGAGACTGCTGGTTTTCTACTTGCAGGAAGTGCATTGGATTGTCTCAATATCAGTTCCTCTAGGGTCTTTTTTTCTTTGTCCCCAAATATCTCTTAAATGTTGATGATCAGAAGGAGAGAAGTTTGCATGGACACTACAGTTTTTTAAAATATAAATATTTGGAGTAGTTATATCTCTAAATAAATTGCCCCAAGTTCTAGCTGTGCCAATTGCCATAATAATAAGCTTTCAATACTGCTTGAACATAAGCTGGGCTCTTCTGTTAAGTCATAAAAGCTGAAAGAGTGGGAGGGTTGAGAGAGACCAA